TCAGAGTGGGTATTTGGTCATGTACACAACTCATAATGATTGAAAGTACAACCAAACCTTCTTGGCTGTTGTCACTAATGGAAGAATAAGCTTTTCCATCTTTGGATCTCTAGTCTTGGGTTCGAGAAGAGCTTTACACATGTAGTATACCGGCTTATGCTACCCCGAGTCGTCTCGAATTAGAGTCGCACTAACTGTGCAGTCCGACACTTCCAAGTATAAGTACAATTCCTCCCCATCCACTGGTTTGGATAAGAATGGTGGATTGGACAGGTGCCCCTTCAATTTTATGAAAGCTTCCTCACATTCATTTTTTTTATTTATTGCAGTAATGAAGGGTTCCATTTGAAGAAAACGACTAAAAGCAGCTGCCCTTCTAGTCAAACTCTAGATTTCGTTTACGATGCGAGGTGACTTCTTTTCCATGATCTGGTTTGGATTAGCTTTGATTCCACGCTTTGTAACTAAGTAACCTAAGTAATTTCATGATGCTACTCCAAAAGTGCACTTTTCTGGATTGAGCTTCATGTTGTACTTCTAGAGTAGGTTGAAAGGCTCTTGGAAGTGAGTAAGATGGTATTTCTGTAGATCGCGTTTCTACAACTAATAACAACACTTTTGAATTCGTAAAATGCTTTTAGCCATTTCAAAAACAATCCCAAACAACACCTAACTAATAACAATAGACAAAAAAGAGAGACTTTGGTCATTAAAATTTGTAAACTGATGTAAAAAACTCAATGTGAAAGCTCCAATGAAGCTTTAGGATGAACTTAATAGGAGTTTTAGTCCCATGGTTTTTCCTGGATGCAAAATGAAATGGTCATAGCTCTTACTCACTCATAGAAATTAGAGGCATCCATTAATGTGTGGGATGAGGCTTAGGGATTTCTCATCTAGGTTGAAAGATTTAACACCTCCAAGTGTTCCCAATTTGCACAACATTTTTGAATTGGCGTCGTTATGTTAGGGCTCTATTGATTAAAAACTGTGGTGATCAAATCATCAACCTTTCTTGTTAAAGAAAAGGTTTTTCTCGTGTCAATGACTTACTATTATTGCTTTTTCTCTCTTTTTATGTTGGTAGGAATCCATTGACAATGAGCAAATCAATGCAGTTATTGCAGCAAAAACCTCATGTCATCGATGTATACGTCCATTATTCTCTATTTTTCCCTCGAAAATTGGGTTGACAATCCTCTGATAGGTTACTCCTACGTTTTTAAGCCCAAAAGGCATAACCTTAAAATGTACCTCGTGCCCCGTTGTGGCATCGATCAACAAGTCTACCTAAGGCACAAGATAAGGGTCTTTGAGGTAGGCTTTATTCAAATCTTTGAAGTCCACACAATAACCTCAAATTTTAATTTTTCCTTTGCACAAGCACCACATTGGCTAGCTAGTCTGGGTGGTGGACTTCAACAATGAAGTTAGTATCTTTGAGCTTAACAATCTCTTCTTAGATGATCTTGCTTTACTCTATCCCATGATTGCATTTTTGCTAGAAAACCAACTTCGAGGATGAAAAATTATTGAGAAGTCAATCCTTGGCATGTTTTTTGCGAACCAAGCAAAAACTTCTTTATTGGCTTGCAGGAATCTGGTGAATTGTTCTTTCCCTTGATCAAATAGTTTAGATCTGCTTTTGGCTTTGCGATCCGGCTTTTCAAGATTGAGGCTTATGTAGACAACATCTTCATCCACTTTAGACTCTGGAGTGTTGTCATTTGGGGGTCAAGGTCTAGGTCAAATTCTTTGTAGCCTGTCTGTTAACTTCTGATTGTGTTTGTTATGCTGACTCGTTCATGGGAGCGGTAGAGCTCTATTTTCCTTTGCAAATCTTGCTTTCCATTAAGTGAAATTGAGCTGATGCTTGATCTCATTTAATTTCGTTTACTCTGCCAGGTTTGGGGTAACAGAGTAGTTAGTAGGAGGATGAGGGGATTGATCTCATCTTGTAAAGTCAGTTCTGACTGAGTATGGCATTATGAGTCCATGACATGGAAAACCACCAAATAGTTGCACAGTTCCGCTTGAACTGCAAGCTTCACCGTTCCAAGCGATTGGCCGGAGTATCATTGAAGGTATGCATGGTGGTTTCGCTCTTGTTGTTTTTTCTTTCTTTTTTGGTTTTACCCAGATACTTTTATTCTCCATAAATGCTGTTGACGTCGAGAACTAGTCTTTCCATCAGACTTTGAACTCTAGAAGATCCTTAAGATTTCTTGTATCTTTTGCGAATGTTCTAGGAGTGATGCGACAATGCTTCATACAAAGGTTTAGATTAGCAGTTCACGCTAGGGTCAGAATGGGCGTTGCCTTAGCTGGTGGATTCTAAAATGTTAGATGATGTCTCTGAGAGCCTTCACATTCCATTCAAGGTTAATAAGCTTAGACCATCCTTTATGCGTGAGGCTTTTTGAAGTTTGTTGACAAAAGCATTGATCTCTATCAAGGTTTTCTAGATTTGATCCTTAGTGGAGACATCTACGTGACCATAATTATTGTTTTGTTATGAGGAGATGAATGTGCTGGGACATTGCTTTAAAATAGCCATTATCGTGGTAGAGTGGTTTGGTTAGGGGGAACTCAAGTTCAACTCTCAATTAAACCACCAATTGTTTGAACAAATTCACACACCACTATGTGTGGAGAAAATGCACAAATGCGTTTAACATGCAAAAGGCTCTTTGATGGTCAAGTTAGTAAGCAAATATACAAGACTCAAGTGGTAGGTAAGAGAATAAGTGTACGAAAATTGCGTTACCAGGGATGAACCTTAGAAGGGTGTATTTATACCAGTTGAGGCAGAGACCTTTTAGGATGTGAAATTCGTATTAAGCTGAAAGAATCTCAGAGGATATAGAGGAGTAAATGTTTCATCCTCTTAGAAGTATGATTACTTGTGACACATGCCAACCCTTAGGCTGTAAAGACTGTAAGGATATAGAAAACTTGGCTAGTTTCTTACTGGATTAGGTTTCCTATGTTACGAAAAAGGCATGGCCAATCTCAATGAAGTCGGCGGAATTCGGCCATAGCTCTGGAACATGATGATGGTGGCATCGCTGCTCTGTTTATGTAGCTCCATTGCTGAAGCTGTTGAGTCCATGACTGAACTTTTAAGATACTTGTATTTCGATCCACTTTACTCTGGCCCTAGAAAATCATGGTCATAATTATTACCCTGAAAATTCCCATGTTAGTATACTTAGTAGAAATGGCATGGGTTTACAAAATGTGTTTTTACCAATTATTATTTTTTAAATTTAGTCATCGATCTATTTTTATGAAATGTAGTTTGTTATGCATATTTGAAATGTTTGTGAAATGAGAAGGTTAGTCAAGGACCGTTAACTCATGGTTATGGGGAGTTGTGACATCGTACTTGTATCCTATCTAGTTCTATTAAACTATTTTAAACTAGGTTCCTAGAATTCTACTCGGTTCCATTGATTAGACTAGACACTTGTTCTGCTTGGGTTTTGTTAAGTGGTTCAGAACCTTGATTCGACTGAATTTTGTTGAGTTGTCTGGAATCCCATTTTCTATTTAGTTCCATTAAGTTGGTTTGGAACCTTCCTCCTTTTGGATTTCGTTGAGTGGTCTAAAATCCTTCTTTTTAAGTTGTTTCTTTGAGTTAGTCCGAAATCCCTCATCCTCCTTTTGGAATCGTGTTCTATTTGGATTTCGTTGAGTGGTTTGCAATCCTTTTCCCATTTTGGTTCTGTTGAGTGATCTGAAACCCTATCTTTGTTGGATTCCATTGAGTGGTCCAAAATTCATTTTTTGTTTTGGTTTCGTGTAGTGGTCCGAAACCCTATCTTTATTGGATTCTGTTGAGTAGTCCAGAATCCCTATTCTTATTCGGTTCCATTGAGTTAGTCTAGAATGCGGAGACTTAGGAGTTGTAGGCTTTGGCTAAACTGTATAGTGTTACCTTATTTTTTTTTTGTGTATTTATGAAATACATAATTGAGAACTTTTGTGGTTTGATTTAGAAAAACCGATAGATGTCTAGCCTAAGGGATTTTCAGTGAATTGTTTATGATTTTATAAAATATGATTTTATAATTGGTGTTTCTATATTGAGATCGACATACCTTTTGTTATTATTATTAACACATATGTTTTATTGTCACACACACAAGCTCCACAGCTTATCTGAGTTGTTGATTTACCCAGTACACCATTCCCACGATGTAAGGGCAATTATGCCAGTGCTAGGGATTAGTAATTACGAAGTACTTCTTAGATAGCAGAGCAGAAATCAAAGTCCTTGGAGTGATTAGGTTACCCTTGTACCTTTCTTTGTATTTCTTTTGGTTGACCATTTTTGGGAGCCTACATGGATTTACAGTAGTGAAGGCTGGTTATATTTGTTGTATATTTTTGTGGAAGATACCTCACTAGCTTCCTTGACCTTGAATTTTAGTTTCAATATTTGTTGTTTGTATTTTTTACAACCCCTACGTTCCAATATCATATGTTGATCCTGAATGTATGTCTGGATCGGGGCATGATAATTTTTGGTGGTATCAGAGCTTAGATAGTAGGTTACTATACCTATACTTTTAACTTCAAGTGAGGAAGCCTAGATAGGTCATGGGTAACTAGACCTTTATGTATGCAGCGTGGGTTCGTTCTTGAGTTCTTATTCGCTTACGCTGAATTCTTCTATTTATCAGACGTACGATGACGACCTCACATGGTTTTACTTAACCGCTTGGGGATGACATTCCCAATGATGACAAAGTTTTTATTTTTGATGAGAAGGCTGTACACGACTTTGCACTAGTACAAAAACATGTTTGCGCGACGGAAACTTACGCGACGCAGCAAATTTCGTCGTGCAACGTATGTTTGCGCGACGCTAAACACAAAACGTCTCGCAAATAACCTTTGCGCGACGACACTTTGCGCTTTTTTTTTATAATTTTTCTCAAATTACTTATAATTTCTCTCGCTTGGTCTCTCTCTTCCTTCTCGCTCATCTCGCCCTCTCTCTCACCCCGTCTCGCTCTTCTCTCCCACTCCGTTAGACGAATTACAAAGACGAAGGAAGACAGCAGCCACTACCCACCCATCTGCTTCTCCTCCGCTCCACCCTCCGTCGGCGTTTTGGGCGTTTTACCTGATAGGGATGTGCACCACCAGTAGAGCCGCGACTTGTGGTACGCATTCAACCGAGAGTCACACACTGACACAAGTACACTATTTGCCTGTAATCTTCGTCTCCGCACAACACACATACGTGGGTCGGTAAGCCCTTCCAATTTCCCAATCATTTCCCTTCTCAAATTTTGACATATATGAATTCCCAGTATTCCAATTACCAGGAATTCACAGTGTTTGCTGTTTGCGTTCCCATTTCACTGTAAATTTCAATCCTCACTGCCATTTTTCACCTTAGTTTCCAGTAATCAGTGAGAAAAAGTGTAAATTTACCTGTTTAAATTTGTGGGTTTTCGTTCTATTACCGTATAATGGCGATTTCTATGCTTTACGGAGCTCAGAATCTCAAACTTGTCAATGGAATAATAGCAGTAACACCAAGTGGGTTAGGTTCTGGTGGGAAAAATTACCCTTATGGGGTTTTTCCCAGAAGGGTTTAGTGAGCTATGGCGGTAGGAGTCGAAACACCAATCGCTGCACCAACATGCCAAGGCTAAGGAGAAGGAGCCCTTGAAGGAATGCAGGAAAATTGAAGGGGATGCCGATGATCTGCCGTACCCAACTGATTACGTGGATCGATATATCTCTGCTGGAAGGTACAATTTCTGCTTGTTTTGCTTCCTATAATCAGTGTAATGAATTTGCATTTAAAGGAATCTCAAAGTGTAATGTGTTTACATTTAAAGGAATGTCAAGTGGCGTTTTGAGCAATGGGGTTATTTGTCTGAAGTTCGGGTGTAGAAATGTATCATAAATTTAGCCAAGCTTATTATCACTTATTTCAAATTTTAGTGTCAAATTCTGTTATAATGTTTCCTTGTTGTCAGGTTTGTTTCAGATTTACATCTTTTTCTTTTTGCCTTTGCTAGATTTTCAATTTTGTTATAATGTTTCCTAGCGGGTTAATAGCACTTTATCATATTATACTTGTAAAGCTTGGCATGCCCGTCTTTGCCTCAATCTTGAGGTCCAGTAGCTTTTAGTGTCAAATTCCATTTGACCATGAATTGTAGATCATCACCTGCTTTAAAATTCAAAACTTGTCTGCCTGCTTTGAATTGGAAGGATTCAGTTTAAGTTTAAAATAGGGAATAAGTTGACTTACTTTGAATTGGAAGGATTCCGTTTAAGTTTGCCTGCTTTGAATTGGAAGGATTCAGTTTATGTTTAAAACTTGTGATTTAAGTTGTTGAGTTTTTGGCTTACACTGAATTCTTCTATTTATCAGACGTACGATGACGACCTCACATGGTTTTACTTAACCGCTTGGGGATGACATTCCCAATGATGACAAAGTTTTATTTTTGATGAGAAGGCTGTACACGACTTTGATAGGCCCGACGGTGTTTCCGGGCTATCGAACATTTGAAATAACTTGTTCAGGCTCATGTTTGTATGACTTTTACTAGAAAGAAGTCTTTGTATGAAGAGTTTTGTATTCATAGGCTACCATCGTTTGACGGCATTACTGATTTATAGACAACTGAGTCTTGTATTAACTAGGTTTCCAGGGTTTTAACCATTCTACGCTGTTCATTTGATGAACAGGTAGACCCTGTGGCATATATGTTGACGGCCAAGGCTTACGAGTGATTGCAGATGACAGTCGACGAGTAGTATTTTCTAAAGTCATTTTGAGATGAGTTAGAGGCGGAGTTTGCCACTATTGAGCAGGGCATAGATACAGTTGTTGAGTATGTGGTCCACTTCACCAGACTTTACAATTTCTCTAAGCATTTCTCTAAGGAGAAGAAGATGAAAAGGCTGATCAGAGGTTTTCAACCGAGCATTTGAGATCTTATGTCAGATTAGAGATTGACGTCATACGCTTAGGCCATTGATCATGCATGCACATTAGAGCTTAATAAGGAGCGTAATGCATAAGTGAGTGGGGAACATAAGAAGAGGACCTTTATAATCATTCGAGCGAGGAGTGAAATTGATTTAGGTTTTTGTCTGGTGGTTTTTATGGCTCTTCTCACAAAGGACAACATGAGCTTACATGAGCAGTCTCTTTGACAAATTATAGGGGAGACTTTCAACGTTCCATTGAGGGGAGTTAGTACAATTGTTTTCGGGGAGATGTTCAGAGTACCTTCAGGTGCGAACCCCATAGTTCGTTTGGGGAGGATTATAGGTGCAGTCTTATAGGACTGTACTACGATTATGCTCGCATTGCTAATGTTGACTCTCATGCCCATGTAGGGATGAGACTAGAACGTGCTTTTGGTGTGGCCAGCCTCACCTTATTAGTGAATGCCAGATGTGGCAGCTAAGGGTATGAGTGGAGCTATATTTAATGTTGGTGGCGTAGTTGCACTTCAAGCTTAGAGTAGGCTTTCTGGAACACTTTGAGGCTCAGGCCAGCAGAAAGGTAGACAACCTAGAGGAAGTCAACATGGAGTAAGGGCTTAATGTAGTGGAGCTGAGACATCGCAATGAGGTTCTTAGCGAGTTAGCAGGGTTTGCACACTTTCCACCATTGAGGCTGAGACAGAGCCTGACACGAGCACATGTACAATGAGTTTAGGGGCCTAAACACTTTTTAAGAAGGGAAATATGTGAAATCTTGTCCCCATATTTCACTATTTAAATTCTTATTCATAGTTGTTACGATTCTTCCTTAATTATTGGCGTAAAATTTCCTTATAGCTCTAAGAGGGGGTTCTACATGGACATTTAAGCTCCTTTCATGTTTGGTTTATTTTCTTATAATATTTGGGTACTACATGTTGATAAGAATACGCGGGTGCAAGTGAAGCGAAAATTGAGGACATTTTGGTAATTTCACGTTTGTTAAGACACATTTTGTTGTCTTTTTTCTGGCCTTGGTGTGTGCCACGTGGGACCTACTCTCTCATTTTTCTGGACTCTTCTTCTCTTTTAGCTTGCTTTTCTCTCTTCCATGTCTAATTTCTTTCTTTTGCCTTTTCTCTTCCCCTATAACATAACTTGCCACTTCCAAATTTTGGTCAGTTGACCACTAAACCAATAACACATCAATTTTCCTCTCTTCACAAGCTCAAACTTGAGCTCTAGATCATGAGAAAATGGATAGGGGCTGAAGTCCTAGAAGGTCTGACGAAGAAGAGAATTTTCCTGCTGATTTAGAATGATATCATGTTCCTCAGTCTAGTCATCCTTAGAAGACAATTTCGAGCATTGGATGTTCAAGTCTACCTCGAAATATGAAGATCACACAACTCCGACCTAAGCTGAAGTTTATGAACGAGTTTCAGACCATTTACGACAATTTCTTGGACTTCTACAGGGATTTCGACGAAATTTCTTAGTTTTTGATGAGATAGATGACCGCAAATGGCGGCATCGACAACTAAAGGAAAGAAGGAGATGACTTAATATCCATCATGGTGATAAAATATTTCTAAAGCTATCAGGTGTGAGTGCTTTGATCCTTGTGCTAGGGTGCTTTGACGTAGACTTCAAGTGAGTGACTTTAATATTGTGGTATGGTTATTACCCTCAAAATTCCCATGCTAGTATACTTAATGGATATGGCATGGACTTACAAAATGAATGTGTTATATACTAATTATTGCATTTAAATTAAGTCATCGATCTATTTTTATAAAAGGTAGTATGTTATGCATATTTGAAATGTTTGTGAAATTAGAGGGCTTGTAGAAGACCATTAACCCATGGTTGTGGGGAGTTGTGACATCGAACTTGTATCCTGTTAAGTTCCATTGAGTTGTTCTAATAAGTTTCTAGAATTCTACTCGATTCCGTTTAGTTAGTCTAGAATCGTGTTCTGCTTGGGTTTCGTTGAGTGATTCGAAACCTTGCTTCGACTGGATTCCTTTAAGTGGTATGGAATCTCATATCCTATTCGGTTTCGTTGAATTGATCCAGAATCATCCTCTTCTTGGATTTCATTGAGCGGCTTGGAATCCCTCTTCTTATGTGGTTTCATTGAGTTGGTCTGGAATCTTATTCCTTTTGGATTTTGTTGAGTGGTCTGGAATCCCTTCCTTTTTCGGTTCTATTGAGTGGTCTGGTACCATATCTTTGATGGATTCGTTAAGTACTCTAGAATCCCTTTTTGGCTTCGATTCCGCTAAGTGGTCCTGAACTTTATCTTCGTTGAATTCTGTTGAGTTGTTTGGAATCCATCTTCCTATTCAGTTCCATTGAGTTGGAACCTTTAGAAATCTTTACGGTTCCTTTGAGTTATCTAGAATGCGGAAACTTAGGAATTGTAAGCTTTGGTTGAACTGTGTCGATCTAGCCCATATTTTAGTGCATTTATGAACTAGAGATTTGAGAACCTTTGTGGTTTGATTTAGAAAAGCAAATGGATGTCTTGGTGACTCTTTCGAGATTTCCCACGAATTGTTTATGATTTTAAAATTGATGTTTCTCTACTGAGATCAATGTACTTGTTTTATGGTTATCACATACATTGAATCATTGTCACTCACACAAGCTTCTCAGCTTATTTGGGTTGTTGCTTTGCCCCGTGAACCATTCCAATTTCCCACGGTGTATAGGGCAATTGTGCAAGGACAGGGATTAGTAGGTACAAGGTATTTCTTAGGTAGCAAAGCAGAGATCAAAGTTCTGGGAGTAGTTAGGTTACCCTCGTACCTTTCTTTATATTTCTTTTGGTTGACTATTTTTGGGAGTCTACAGGCATTATACCCTAGTGAGGGTTTGGTTACATTTATTGTACATTTGTATATTTTTATGGGAGAGACCCCACTAACTTGCTTGATCTTGAATTTTAGTTTCAATATTTCTTGTTTGTATTTCCTCACACCCCCATGTTCCAGCATCACCAGGGCCGGCCCAAGCCCAGTGCAAGCAGGGCAACCGTCCGGGGACCAAAAAAATTAGGGGCACTAAAATTATTAAGGTGGTATATTTATATATGTTTTTATAAGAGTATAAATTTATAAAAATTGGTTCAAAGACATAGAAATTTAACTAGAAGTGGTGGTTTGTCATTTGAAAATAATGAGGAGGTCTTGGGTTCAAAACACCATGTGTGCTTATTTACTTTCCATTTTTTACAAATTTCTTTTCATAAGAGTATAAATTTATAAAATTTGGTTAAAGGATCAAGAAGTTTAATTATAAACAATGATTTTTTATGTTTAAAATTAACAAGAGGTCCTAAGTTCGAAATGTTATGTGCATGTTTATTCTTTTCAATTTTTACAAATTTTTGTTTGGTTGTTAATTTATTTTTAGTTACTATCTAGTAGCTATGTGGGTTGTTATTTTTAAATATTCGTTTTAATTCAAGTCTAATCTTTAACAAAGAATAATACGTAGACCAAATTTGCAAATTATATGATGTGTTATCAAAATGTTTAATTTAGTGCCCATTCATTAATAATACATATCAATTAAAGACTCGAAAACATCATTATTTTTTAGTCCCATATTGACAAGGTTAGTAAATAAGAAAAAAAAAAACACCTCACAATTTATTC